CATCTCCTGTCCTGTGCAAACTGACTGACTGACTGACCATTTGTTGGACGTTGACGTGACCTTGAGCCCTTCCCAACGTGATTGTTCTGTATTTCACGAATTTCTTGTGTAACACTTGTATAGAATAAAATCAAGGTTTGCAGAGCACATGGAAATATTTTTATTCTTCGGAGTATTATGTCCCGGTGGGTCAGGGGTTGTTTCTCTTTGCAATTCACTCAGTTTCAGCATAAATTGAACGAATAAACCACACGTATTTTTGGAATCTAGGCTAACTGAACGGTAAATCATCAATTTCGATGCACGATTAGTCTATCTGGTCTTATTCACACTAAATTTAAAAATTTCCAAGGAGAAAAATTTTAAACTTGTGCGAACTTTAGTTTTTAGGGCTTCATTTTTCACGTTTACCTTCGTATCTCTGTGGAATGCCCTCTTTCAAGTAACAGTCTGCTTCCTAATGGGTATCCATAAACCCCGTCCATAGCCTGGTTTTGCACACCTTTCTTGGTCCAGATTGTGTCTAGCAAATCATGATAAAAAGCTTTACTGTTGGGCGCAGCACTTTTAGGTTGCCTAGGCAATAACAGGTACAGCTTCCTGGGGCCTTCGTAATCAGAGTATTCGGCTTGCCAAAGTCATATGCGGAGTTTCAAAATCGCAATCGTTAGGGGCCGGTGTCCTGATCATCGTATCATACGCCCTTTAGACTTAGTCAAACATCCAAGGTGCCCAGTACACCCCGAACCGGTGACCACTGTCAAAACCAGGGAGCTTTGGATAAATGTGTTTCGTACGCCTATTCTCGTTTGGTTTGGAATCAAGGTTTTTAACCAACTTTTATCAAATGAACTGCTAGTGGTACAGTCCTGGATGTTGGCTTTCCGTCACTTCTCTTTGAATGCAGTAATTTGGGCTTCTTCGGTAGATGCTATTTGAAAAGCCTGTTCGTATTACGCTGGTTGGAACATGTGCTACGCATGTCACCAGATGGGTTACCACGGCGAACGATGCTTGCCGAGGCAGGTAGCGGTTGGGGAAAAATGAAGGGCGGTCAAGCCAAGACCTGGCATGAGGGTATCAAAACCCTGACCAGCGGTCTGGCTCACATAGGTCCCGTTAGGCTTCCTGGTTGAGGACTCAGACCATGGTCACCGACGGTTAGAGACACTGAGCGATATGGCTGGGTGTCGCAAACAGGGGCGCTCATGCATCTAATCATTATTCTTGTAACTTCAGTCTATGAAAATGTGCTACCGTCCGCTTGAATCTGCTCTCAACATTCGAATCATCATTCTGTTTTTATATCCAAATGGGCAACCAAAACCAGCGCACGCAAGTGCATGGTTAATGGTTGTAAGAACTGAGCTGAACTTTGTGAACTGCTATTTGTCGGTGCATATGCCGATATAATGAACAAACAGCTTTCGATGTTGCTTCCCTTCCGGACGTTGAATGAACCCTGCAGGCGCACTGCACATTAACGACTTAACGGGGATCCACTCAATAAGAGAGTACTCGGCCCTGTTACTGAGTACAATACCTACCACGCGGTGACTTAATGATCAGGCTTCGTCGTTGCCTGATATGTGAAGAGCGTACCTCGAGGACAAATCTGGCGCGCTCAAGTTGCTTATAATAGGATCCTGTATTCGAGTCTCCGACACGCAGCAAATATCGATTCCTAAGGATTCCATTTTGACATGTCAGGCAAGCTTGTTGGCCTACCTGCATCAAAGTTCTCACATTGAAGTCCCCCAGATTCAGTGATTGACGAGGCTTTAAGATCTGCAGTCTGTTGCGTGGTAAATTACAGTGCTGTTTGGCTACGACCTTTGGCAAGCGATATCCAAGTTGCTTGAGGGACTCCCAAGGCCTCAGTATGGTTAGGGGTGGGTGTCTAGGGTTGCGGCTGGTCACCCTGCCCTTGCATCTCACGAAATGCCCCCATACGACCAAGCGTCTCAAATAGCCTCTGCTGAGGAAGTCCTACTCACTGCCTTCTCGCGGTGGAGGTGTTTTCCCACCAAAGTGAGAGGACGAAAAGCCGATATCCGGGGCTATAGCCGGGTTGGTGGACCACTGGTAGTTCACCTAGGGGAGTTGGCCAAAAACCCTGATTCCAAACCGACCAAGAGGAGGCGTACGAACCACCCCCACAACTTTTCGGTTGTGGCAGTGGTTACCGGCTCGATTGGGCGTTGAGGTGTATTGGGCACCTTGGACGTCTGACCTCGTCCGAAGGGCGTATGATCCGATGAACTAGACACCGGCTCCCAATGGACTGCGGTTTTCGCACACCGCCCCGCTGCCTTGCGGGTCAGGCTTTGGCTAGCCGAAGGCTCCGGTTGTGGATTCCTCAAGAAAATTCACCTGCCTTGGCCTGGGCAACCTGGCAGTACTCAACCCACAAGCCAATTGTGGAACATTTTTCTTTTTATAAAGATAATTGTACCATGATTTGTTTGGCACACAGTCTGTCCTCAGACAAGTGTGAAATATATATATATATATATATGAGGGACTATTATAGGTAGGAAAAAGGGGGCGAATGGAGAGGGCTGGGTACGGAAAACAAAGAATTAAACAAAAGTTGGGATGTCTGAGCAGTAGCCCACTTATCACTACCCACCCCACTCGATGCAATGAGCAGCGCGGTCCTGAGTATTCTGCGCGAAGATCGATGCAATATAAAGTTATTTTTAGTTTGTGTATGCATTCCATTGGGGTTTTGTGAACGCTCGCAGAACCGATTCTCCAGATACCACAAATAGGACAGTGCTCAAATCCATAGAACATCAGAGAACAAAGACCAGAATTGAAGGGTTGCAAAATATAGAGGGATGGCGAGGGTTGCATGTATTGGCATTTGTCACCATATTTGTCGTTAATTGGGAGGACGGGCTCGAGAAAGTTGTGTGAGGTCCATATGGAGTTTGAAGGTATATTGACTCATTTTCAGCATCACCTTCTTGGGTGATAGACGGAACATTTCAAAGCTCAGTTCAACTAGCCCCCAACATCATTAAATCTGTCAACCCCTTACTTTAACTGGACAAATACTGCCAGTTAATATGAATCCTCCAGGCTGGTTGTAGTTCTGGTCGACGTACAGACCGCAATTTCATCCGTCGCCAAACTCTGGAACATACACGTTCCTTTCGTTGACCGACTGTTGATATCTTCCTCAATCTGAAAGCGAATTTCGACTCAGTTCGCCGCTCTGTACTCTGACACTGCCTTTCCCCAAATGGTGCGCCCGAAGAGTGTATTTCAATATTATGATCCGTTCATACCATTAGCCGAAGCCAAGCTCCAGTTTACGGTACTTTTCTCACCTGAGTTCACCACAGAAAACCGTATTCGTCTTCCGTATCATTTTACATCATTTCGCCGTACGATGATGATGACACCGACGCCTACATTCCGTCCTAGTAAACACTTTTTTTAGGTGACATCTTTTTGTTAGTTCTACTATGTATCGGTATTTAGAATATTCCTTCCTTGACCAGAATAACCTTTTTTCTTTGTTAAAGATTATTTTGCATTGCCGAAAATGAGTGCTGTTTCTCAGCATCAAATGAATGAAAGTGACTTGGGAAAAGACGCAAACGTCCTCATTATGGAACTGAACAAAGGTTAGTCTATTCATCTTTAATACTCGTTCTGTTCAGGTCTCCAGTCTCCAAACCTTGGTGAGCAATGTAAGGCTATAGCTCAATTTCCCAACCTACTTGAAAAATATCCCTTTCCAATGGTCGTTAATTCCATTTTCTTAAAGATTGCACAAATCTTCTGCGATGGGTTTGTTTGTTCTTGGTTGTTCATATCTGTTGTTCTTGACAGAAGCAACTATCTTCGACTTTGTGTGTT